GCTTGCTTTGTCAAAAAATCCTTTGAACTTATAAAACAAAAATTAAGAGAAAAATAATAGAAGACAGATCAAGGACCACTTTCTAACTAATTTGTTGTAATATCCTGTAAATCACATTTTCTTTGTTGCCATCTACTCGGGATGATTACATAAATAGGTATTTTCATGTAAACTCTTTTCACTAAAAGGCGCTTTGCAAAGGAATTATACCAAAAGCTTGTATATTGTCTTTGCTACCTTTAACTAAATTTGTTAATATCTAATTTGCCATTTTCTAGTTACAAATCTTTGTTCAATTTTAACTTTTTATCCTAATATATTTTAGAATAAGAAGATTTTTTTTTTCGATGAACCCAAAGTTCCCACCGCCACTGTTCAATCACCGTTCCACGTAAATCCACCGTCTCTGCCACCGCAAAAAGGGTTTGATTTAGATTCTGGATCTGAGATAGAGACTTCCGACTCTGAAATCGAGTAAGCTTCAATGAATCCCAATACTAGATCTGGGAAACTAATCGTTGTCACCGTCGCAGCCACAACCCCTAAGAAGAAGGAAGATTTGTCTTCTACTACTTTAGCTTTTCCGGCGGTGAAATCAAGTATGAAGCAGCCAAGTGAAGGGACTTCGAAGGACAATAAAGCGAAACGTGTGAAGAAGGTTACTTCAGGAGAAGATGAGAAGATTGATGAAGATACAAAGAGACTCCTTTTGAAGACACTAATGGATTTTACGGTTTCATAAAGAAATAGATCGATTAGCTTTGAGGTTAGTAAGAACCAATTCATTGATAAGATTAGTAGTTTGAAAATCGCCATTTAGGATTTGGGCCATCAACTCTAAATCTCATTATGTAGTTTAGGATTCAAGAACATATTTGTTGTGGCTCGAATTCGTGTCCATATGGACACTATAAACTGGTCACTGTTTCATGGATACTAAAAACATGGTGGTCACAGTTCCATGGATACTATAAAACTCGTCTCGATTTCACTTCAGTTTCTCCAATTCCTTCAACAATCTATTTTGTGATAGATTTGTGTGTGAATATAGGGTTGTGTGTTGTACTTTTTGGGTTTAATTTTAGTAGCTTTCTCTTGCTTTCATGGTTTTATGACTTTATGTTGTTACTCTCTGAGATTTTTATATGGGAATGATGAGGTTCTACTATCTTACAAATTATTGTTTAGCTTGTGGATGCCATAGATGGACGTCTATTTGTGGATGATCTTTGGAAAAGAGAAGTTTTGTTTCAATGTCTTATGTTGTGCTCAAATGGGATGGAGAAGCATTTGTATCTAGGATGCAATATCCATGACAAAAGTCCAGGATGCATTATCCACAACATAATGTCGATGATCATTTAACGAAACTTGTAATCTCTGATCCATCCACCACCTCGTGAATATATATCAGTTAAACTTCAAGTTTACAAATGATATGTTATTGTTTATTGTTAGAAATTTATGTCTGCTGGACTTTAATCGTCACTAGCTCTTTTTGTTTCTTAATCTCTTATTATCTTGCTGATTTTGATGGCACAAAAAAGTGTGGTTTGTGTAATTATCTAACAATGGCAAATATGTGGTATTGCATCAAGCGATTGTGTAACCATAATGAGTTGATCACATGGACATTTTATCTGTGGATACGTTCACCTGGATATATAATCATTGATACGTTCTCGACGATGGTTTGGTTATCGTAGATTGCTTCAATAAAATGTAAAAAGTCATAAGCACATAATATCAACTCGAGCCACACTGTCACGTCCATGATACCATATCTATTATACAAAAGAAAACAATTGATTCCTCCAGAAGACAACAAAATTCATCGATGGATATAAATGCAAATATGAGATTTTGATTGACTTGTCCACACAAACTTGTTCATAAATCCCTAAGAAGATCCAACAACTACATCGACTATAATAATATGTAAACATGAATATTCTCATGAACATTGTACATTATATTCTCTAATCATGGACACTTTAACTTCCCATCGAATTCTAGTGTCCTCAGTCACCAACCAACCACTGAATAACTCACATCTTTGGGTCGTTGGGATTGTTGGTTTTAGTCTAAAATTTTTTGAACTTGAACAAAATTTTCTGAAAATTCTACAACATTTTACCATCCATTTGTCAGTCTGATGGTGGAGTTTCAAAAATTACACAATCATATGTCATCCACGCTAACTCGACCACAATATTTTATCCATGCTAACTCGTCCACAATTCTTTATCCATGCAAAATAAGAAGAAGTATAAGGCAATGCGACCACTTTTGAACAAAGAAAGAATTTAATCACACGAAACATAAGTTTTATGCAGAGATTATCATTCGTGTACATGTTCAAGTTACTTAGAAGCATCTGATTGAGTATCTAGTAGTAGAACTTCCTTAAAAAGGGACAATAGTTTGGTGTATACAAACAAACCTATAGAAATCAATGTTGAACAATGAGAAAACAACATCAATTTTTCATGGGCACAAGATTTACAATCTCCATGATATTAATGAATAATCGATCAACAATTATCAAATTGAATCATCATCTTCACAAACTTCCAGTCCTTCTCTACGACTCAAAATCTACTTTTCATAAATGTAAATAGATTTAATAGAAAGAGACTCGACAACGACAACTTTGTAGGCTTCTCCTTCTTACGACACCGCTCTTGCAAGAGCAAATTCCATGGAGATCCTGCTCGAGTATCTTCTTCTTCTTTTATGCGAGAACGATAGATTGTTCAGTCTCACACTCACCGGAGATTAACGCCGGAGGAGATGTCATTCGTGTCTGATTGCACGAACAATAAGACGCAAGGTCGGTCACAAAGAAGAAGACCATTTTTTACAGCCACACAAACTCTCTATCAATCTAAGCCCTTAACTTTTAATGAGTTTGGATGGTTGAGATCATATCTATACACAACTTTAATCTAAACAGTTAAATGTTAATGAGCTTGGACGGCTCAGATCATTTCTGTTTCCAATCCAGATCTAAAATCTAGTCCATTAGATTTTAATGAGCATGGACGGCTCAAATTACACAGAAACCTAAACATATGTTTTCTTCTTTCGAGGGGCAAATTCGTCCGGAATTTCTCGAATCTTGTGCAAAAGTCTCTCACATTTGCAAAGTACCTTTGTTTGTAAAGTGTGTTTCCAATCCAGATCTAAAATCTAGTCCATTAGATTTTAACGAGCATAGACGGCTCAAATTACACAGAAACCTAAACATATGTTTCCTTCTTCCGAGGGGCAAATTCGTCCTGAATTTCTCGAATCTTGTGCAAAAGTGCATCACCTTTGCAAAATACCTTTGTTTGTAAAGTGTGTTTGAAAAAGTATCTATACATGTAATTATCCCATCTACTCCTGTATATATAGGGTTTGGTAATTTCAATTGGCAACATACTGGATATAGAAATCCTCATTAAATCGTTTGGTTAGACTTGGGACCAAAAGTGTTAAAATGGAACGAATATCAATCATTAAACAACTTCGTTGGGACTTTTTGACTTCTTATAAATTCCATGATGTGCCTACTGCTTAGAAAGAAGGGATTAATTTAAGGAATACATGGTTATTATATGTTATAGTGCATATGGAATAATTGGGTTATGTTGGTGGAATAAATTATAGATTAATTTAAAAAATGATCATTATGTATTTTGAAAATAAACTTGCCAATGCCGAGTTATCTTATTTTGTTAATACCAACTCCCAAAATGATTACCAATTGTATAGTACTATCATGATCATGAGATAAAACAATAAAACATGCTTCCAAAGAAGATAAAGAATGTGTATACAAGTGGTTCAAGACTTTTAAATTCTTTTGGGTGCTCCACCAATACCCTAATGGGAGAGAATATTAGAGTATTTTCAATGTATCACATTATTTTTTACTCTAACTCTAAAATAAAGTTGAGTTTTACTCCATTTCTTACTTCAAAAAAAATATTTTAAATATATTTCTCTTTTGCTATTTATTATTAATTACTTATAATACATTTTATTTACAAAACTTACAAATTGATCCTATTATTTTTTTTGTTTTATAAATTAGAGTTGCAAAATTATGTTTTATTATATCAATTTCTACATATATGCATGTTAACTTTTAGAAAAATTTCAAAAAATACCATTTTTCAAGTGCCACTTTACAAAAATGTCACACTTTTAAAATCTTTACAAAAATGTCACTTTTTCAAAATTATTTTTTCTTTATATTATTTATGTTTGGGTTAATTATGTTCTATTAGGATTTAGTTTTGAGTGTTTAGGAAGTTTTAGGTGTCAAAACATTTTTTAGGGTTTTAGAATTTTAAGATATAGGTTTTATAAATCTATAATTAGTGGTATTTTTGTAAATGAATACCCTTAAGTGGCATTCTTGCAAATGTGCACACAAAAGTGACATTTTTGTAATTGTCCCTGACTTTTAAATATGCACTTTTAAGAATTAAATTCATAATAGCATATATTACTTAAACATGCATACACATTTTTAACAAAAAAAACTTACTCG